CAAAATTTTCAAATACACTTCTCTCCATACCAAATAAATTTCATACCATTAAAATTCAGATAGTTATAGCAAAATAAAATCGCCAACTTTATACCACAACTTCGGACATTTATTATTAACGACAAATTTTCTAAAAAAATAAAAATAGCCAACAGATATCTCAAATAAAAATGGTCACTTACTCACTTTATATTAATAAGAGCATCTCCAATGTGACTTTTGACATTATAAAAATTCATCCATATCATCAACTTTTGAAAGTGTGTTACTAATTTGTTCTCCAATGCATCTTGTTATGAGCTCTTTCATGATGAGGTGGATAACATTTAATGTTGACAATGTTGAGCACACTTTCTAATATCTAACATCATGTTAAACATGATGACTAATTAATTTACTTTATATTTTATTTTATTTTTTATTTTTCTTTTATTAATGATTATTTTAATTGGTCCACCTATACAAATAACTTCTTATCAAATTGATGCATTGGAGAAACTAATTTGATTCAAATTTCTACTCTTTTAATATTATTCCTAGATGGATTAATATTACAATTATTGATTGACATGTGTTAAAAATCTTAGTCTTTCAAAGGTGTAGCATTGAAGATGCTCTAATGGATTTATTAATTTTGGCAATTTTATAACATATATCGATAAATTAATTTCTAGAGACGAAATTTTTTGATCACCAAATTTAATAAATTTAAAAATTTTAGACGAAATTTTTTGATCACCAATGAGTGCATGCCACGTACACGGTGGGCATATTAACATGTGCCCACCGTGGGTAGGAGAGCATTTCTAATGACTAGTGTACCTTTTTTAGTGAATTTGTTAAATTAATGTGTAAGTATGATGCTTGCCAAAGAAACAAATTGTTCATGAAAGAGGTCAATATAATACATTAAAAAGTGAAATATTGCTGAATTTCCTTCCCAAAATTCCTTTATTAATACTGAAAATGGAATGTTTGAATACAAATATGATCTCATGTTTCACTTGATATTATTCAAGATTTATTTTTCAAGATATGATTTCATTTTATCTTTCCTAATATGATTGAAAGATTCATATTATTCAAAATTCAAATTGTCTATATACAATAGCGTGATTTTTTTTAATACAAATCTTCTTATCCGTAGACATTATTTCATTGGATCATGCTTAATCTGATCGGAAGATTAATATCCTCAAATTTATTTCCATATTTTCTTCTCTATTTTTCCTTCTCATTTATTTTCATTTTTTGGTATCATTCATTAATTTCTAAAAGCGTGATTTTTTTTTTTTAATTTTTGAAAAAAGATTACAAAGTTTAGTAATTTTAAAAATTTTAGGTATGATTTTAGTTTATATTTCAAGTAAATACAAATATATATCTCGTGCGATGCACGACAAAACACATATTTTAAAACTTTTCTTAGATTTTATTTTAAGAAAAAAATGCTACAAATACATAATAAATGTGCATAGAGGTGTATATAACACTTACATAGAGTGAAGTTCACTTGATTTTTATTTTTAGTAGGTCCCATTAAATAGGAGTGTTATATATACCCTATGTACAATATTATGTACCTATAACATTACTCTTATTTTAAATATAATCCTTTGTATTTTTCACATCTCATCTCATTATAGAAATAAAATAAATACAAACAATGAAAAATATATATTATTAAATATTTCTCTTTGTATAATATTTTTTATTTACGGAATATTATTAAACTTACAGATTTGATTTTTTTTAAAAAATCAATTATCCAATATATGATTGTTAACGTACAAAAAATAATTAAAAAAAATCCAGACTTAAAGCTTTTTTTTTTTTTTTTACAAATCAAAATCATCCAAATTTTTTGAATTTCAAAAACTTTAGAAAGTTTGCTAATGAGATAAATCAAGTTATATGAATGACTATTTAGTTAAAATATTATATATTTTAAGAAATCTGTTTATATAAATGTGGATAAAAAATATTAATTAGTTTGATAGGAATGTGATTATATGGAAATTAAGATAAAATGAAATGTAACCAGAAAATCTTTTTGTGGTTTTTTACTTTAAATGATTGAATTTAAAAATCTAGTAACTAAATTTAGATTATATCACATAAGGAAAAAATAATAATAATGTTTGTTAATATATTTAAAAATTTAATTTTGAATTTCAAATACAGTAAAAGGAAGAATAATTCAAATTTACTTTCAAATTTTTATTAAAGTGTTTAATAATCGGTAAGTATACCCGTAAGAATAACATACTATTTTAATTTAATTTTTTTTTTCAAGTTTGTTAATGAGATAAATCCGGTTAGACAAAAAAATAAATAGTTAAAATATTATGTTAATTATATTTTAAAAAATCCAGTTAGATAAATGTAATTATATTAACTAGTCTGTTAGGAATATGATTATATGAAAATTAAGATAAAATGAAATGTACCCAAAAAATATGTTTGTGATCTTTTCCTTTAATTGAATTTAAAAATCTAATAGCCGTTTTAGATTATATCACGTAAGAAAAAAAAATATTTATTAAAGAGATAAATAAATAATATTTGTCACTTAGATAATAAATAATAAACATTTATTACGTAAGAAAAAAATAAATAAAAATACATTTAAAAATATAACTTATAATTTCAAATGAAGTAAAGGAGGGATAACTCAATTTTTAAAAGTTTCTAAATGTTTAATATATGGTAAGTATATCCGTAAGAATAATCATACCATTTTAATTTTAAAACAATTAGCAATTTTGTTAGAGAGATTAAGCCGGTTAGATAAATGATTAATATGTTAATATATTATATTAATTATATCCTAAAAAATCGGTTAGATAATGTAGATAAAAAAAATCTTAATTAATTTGTTAGAAATGTGATTATATAACAGTCAAGATAAAATGAAATTTACCCAAAAATCTGGTTAGGATCTTTTTCTTTAAATGTTTGAATTTAAAAATCTAAGAACCGAACTTAGATTATATCATATAAAGAAAAATAAATAATAAATATTTATTAATATATTAAAATATGTAAGTTTGAGTTTCATATAAAATGAAAGGCTTGATAATTCAAAATTATTTTATAAAAAAAATTCTAAAATAATTAATATTTTGGTATTTATATCCATAAGACTAATAGTATAATTATTAAATAAAATGTTATATTAATTATATCTTAAAATACCCAATTAGATAACTTGGATAAAAAAAATATTATATTAATTATATCTTAAAATATCCAATTAGATAAATTGGATAAAAAATATTATATTAATCAATTTTTAGAAATGTGATTATATGAAAGTTAAGATAAAATAAAATGTACAAAAAATTATGCATGTAATCTCTCTTTTAAATGTTTGAAATTAATCTTTTTCAAAAAAAAAAAAAAAAAAAAAAGTTCAAAAATTTTAATAAAAATCATGAGCGGGAGAAACCAAATAATTTCAATAAACATTTCTATTATTACCAAAACCCGAAATTATGGGAGAGAATTTACATGCCTATTTTCTGATTTTTTTTCTTATTGCTATTATATAGTAATAGATATATATATTATACTATAAAAAACATAAACAATAATATAAAATTTTATGTTATAAATTGTAATTTTTGTTAAAAATGTATGATGGATGGATCCTCCCAACAATTAAGTAATCTTACATAAAAATTTACGAAGATAAATATCGGTATCATTGTGTTGGTTTGCTTAGTAGTCAAAAACAATAATCTTCTACCAATTATACATATTTTCATTCTAAAATGTCATACTTTAAAATACGTGCGCAATAAAGTGCTACATTTAATATTATTCATAACTATGCATTTTTTTTTTTAACATGTCTAACCGATTAGACAACTTAACAAACATTTGTAACGAAGAACTCGATCTATTTTATTGTTCATGCATTCATATAAGTTGATCTAAAGATAAAAAAAAAATCAATAAAGCAATATATGTTATCATTTGGAAATGGATAAGCTATGACTTTGGAATACCTAAAAAAATCAACAGATTATGTAGAGACGGGATATTTTGTATTTTTGTCAAAAAATTTACTATAACTAGTAATTCTAAAATTTTAGGCGGGAAATTAAATATTTTTTTTTGTTGTTGATTTTTTGTTACTATTTCAAGTAAATATCATTGTCTCTTTATATAATAATAGATAAATTTATAGATTTGATATATTGTACTTTTTTTTTGTAGCCAGCCACGGTATCCGGAGTTATGCCCCTATTAATCCATTGGTCGACCCAGTTTGCACACCTGGCAGTGGTGGATGAGTCTCTCAACAAGAATTTTTTGCATCCACAAGTACTCGAAACCGATACCTTGCTTAAGCGGCATTCATATATAAGTTGATCTAACGATCAAAAATCAATAAAGCAATACTATCATTTGGAATGGTTTTGCTCACCTGCCCACGGTGGGCAGTGCCCACCAAAAAATTTTACATAAAAAACGTATTTTGAGAATACGTTTTTTAATTAAATTTAATTGAAAAACGTATTCTCAAAATACGTTTTTCATGTAAAATTTTTTGGTGGGCACTGCCCACCGTGGGCATGTGATCAGATCTATCATTTGGAAATGGATAAGCTAAGACTTTGGAGCTGACCTGTAAATACACTGTTGCCCTTTAGATTTTTCTCATACTCGAGAAATTTTGTGGCAATATAGAAAATATGAAAAATTGGATGCATCTAACTTTTTATTGCAATATTTACAGCACGATATACACCGAAGAATTCCCCCCAAAAAAAAATCTAAACCTCACAAAAAAAAATCTTACACTATTTGAGGTAAGAAAGAAGCACCTCTGACCTAGGTTGTCTTCTATATAATCCCTCACAAATTTCATGTACAAAGTAAACACAAACATTTTGTAAATAATCCAAAAAAACCACTTGTAAAAAAAAAAAAAAAACCAAAAAAAAAAAAAAAAAACTCTCATTTTGAAGCCCCTCTCATTTCCTTCTCCAATGGCCAAAAATGGTGTTCCTTCGGATCAAGCCGGGATGCCGATACCCGCTTTCGACCCGCCTCGTAAACCGAAGAGGAACAAGTATGCTTTGGCTTGTGCTTTGATGGCCTCTTTAGCCTCCATCTTGCTCGGTTACGGTATATTCATTCTTGTTTCCAATTGTCAAATTGTATAATATAAATAAAATACAAAAACTACGTGATTAATGATGTTTCTTAGTTTTTTTAAATCGGACGTTAATGTCGTTTTTATTTCAAAAAAAAAAAATAAATAAAATAAAAATCCGCAGATATTGGAGTAATGAGCGGGGCCATTATCTACATCGTCAAAGACATAACAATGACGGATGTGGAAAAGGAGGTGGTGATGGGGATCATAAACCTAATCTCACTCGTCGGATCGTTTATGGCCGGCCGGACGTCCGATTGGATTGGCCGCCGCTTCACGATCATCATAGCCGGATCGATATTTTTCGTCGGTGCCCTTCTCATGGGCTTCGCCACTAACTACGCCTTCTTGATGGTGGGCCGCATTGTGGCTGGGATCGGAGTCGGGTTCGGGATGATGATAGCGCCCGTGTACACTGCTGAGGTGGCGCCCGCCTCGGTTCGCGGCTTCCTCACCTCGTTCCCTGAGGTGTTCATCAACGTCGGTCGGTATATCGTAATTATATTGAATGCATCAAGTTTTTTTTTTTTTCTTTTTTTCTTTTTCTTTGATGATGAAGTTTCAGGCATGTGAGATTGGAATTGACTCTCCCCATCAAAGCACCAAATGCAAAGATGAAATATAGTCATTTTTTGTGGAAGTATGAGTAATAGTGATTTTGGTATATGAAATGACACGATTACCCTTACTCCGAGATTTTTCGATAAAAGATAATGTATAATTTATAACATTTCATAAACCAGTTTCTAGAACTCCAGAATCAATTGTGAAAATTTATTGTTAATTTATGTGTTCCATAAATCGTTTAAGGAATTTCAAAAATTAATTATATAATTCAAGATATTGTTTAACTGCTTCAGAAATTATGCATTAGAAATCATTTCCAAATCTCTAGAAATGGTTTTGAGTGAAAATGTGTGGAGAGGTTAATTTAGTCGTTTCACATGACAAATGTCTATTATTCATATTTTCTACAAGACGTGACTATATTTATACCTTTTTACAAAATATTGAGAAGCCTATTTACTAAATATTACCACAAAATAATAATATTAATAATAATGAGTTTAATTACAGGTATATTGCTCGGCTACGTTTCGAACGTGACGTTTGCGAACCTTCCACGAAACCTCGGGTGGCGGTTCATGTTCGGCATCGGGATCATCCCGGCCATCGGCATCGTCGTCGGCGCGCTCATCATGCCCGAGTCCCCCCGGTGGCTCGTCATGCAGGGCCGCATTTCCGAGGCGAAGCGCGTCCTCGACAAGACCTCCGACTCCCCCGAAGAATCTTTCCTCCGACTCCACGACATCAAACAAGCGGCCGGCATACCCGAAAACTGCAACGACGACAACGTCGTCGTCCCCGCCTCCCGGGCCCACCACGGCGAGGGCGTGTGGCGCGACCTCCTCTGCCCGACGCCCGTCGTTCTCCACATCGTCATGTGCGCATTCGGCATCAACATCTTCCAACAAGTTAGCGGCATCGACTCGGTAGTCCTCTATAGCCCGACCATATTCGAGAAGGCAGGGATCAAAGGCGAAAGGGACAAATTGCTAGCCACGGTGAGCGTGGGCTTCACGAAGACGGTCTTCATATTGGTCGCCACGTTCCTCGTTGACAAGTTCGGTCGACGGCCGCTCCTCCTAACGAGCATGGGAGGAATGTTCTTGTCGTTGATGGCTCTGGCGACCGGGCTAACCGTGATCGATAACGGGCCGGGCACGGCAGGTTGGGCCGTGGCACTTTGCGTGGTGGGGGTTTTGTCCTATGTGGCGTTCTTCTCATGCGGGATGGGGCCCGTCGTGTGGGTCTATTGCTCGGAGATTTTTCCGCTGAAGCTGAGAGCGCAGGGGGTTAGCACGGGGGTCGCGCTCAACCGGGTGATGAGCGGGACGATCGGGATCACGTTCATATCGTTGTACAAAAGCTTGACGATTGGAGGAGCGTTTTTTCTTTACGGTGGGCTAGCGGCATTGGCATGGGTGTACATTTACGTGCTTTTGCCGGAGACGAGGGGCCGATCGCTGGAGGAAACCGAGGCGTTGTTCGGGGGTTTCTATAAGTGGAGATCCACGGTGAAGGAGCTGGATGAGAAGAAGAAGGAGAAGAAACTGGAGAAAGGAGACAATAACTGATGGGCAATATGAATGAGGGTTGAATCTATTGAATGTATAACGATTATCACCACATTTTACTAAATTTTTGGTGTTATGTTGTAAAAGAGAAGAAGGAGAAGTTGTATTGAAATTTGAAAAGCATGTTCAATATACAAGTGGTTTGGATAGCAAGTCCATGACGTGTATTTGAATAGTTTGTTTTTGGAAAAAGAAAACATTTCCAGTGCAATTGTTTTCACTTTTCAGTGATGCTAGTTATAATATGATGTTGCAAAAGTAAAATGGAAACTGTTGATAAGGAAGTTCAATATAAGAATCGATCAGTCAATACTGAAGATAGTTTATATGTTGCAATGATTCACAATATTGTGTCAGTCGAGACCTGCAAGAATGCGTGTGTCAAAATCTGAGAAACGAACTGCACATTCAAGTGGAGAATTGGAGTTGCGTGTTCGGTGTCACTTTGTGGAAGTTATGGCGAGACAGAAGAAATGCATTCATCTTTGATAAACACAACCTTATTGTACAAAGGCGAGTGGCGGCAATCGGTAGCCTGGTCGAGGGAATTAAATCAGCAGCTCTCATGTCCAAAAAGCTTGGAGCGTCGTACAGGTACAAAGAGCAGAGGCAGTGCCGACTCAGGGGGCAGCCAGGGCACCGGCCGGGGGCCCATATCGGTGGGCCCAAGATTATATAAGTATGTAGTGTATATATATATAATCTTGTACCGTATTTGGTATATATAAATATATAAAATAGACCTTTTGTTTTATTTGAAGACCCATGTTAATTGACAAAGAAAAAGCCTTGTACGGATCTCATCTGTACAACTAAACTAATAAACAAATGTCGGTAGAGTGAGAGAGTTAGAGAGAGGATCAAAGTGAAAAGTCAGTTATACCCTCAACCCATGTAGTATAGTGTAGAGTGAATAATTTGATGGTATTTTGGTAAATAATTGCAACAATATTTTTCACTTATTTATCACATAATATTTACTCAACAAAAATTTTCATATAGTAAATTTTTTTTCTTCGGTTTTTTTTTATTTTAAAATTAATATCATCGTTTTATTTTTAACTCGTTAAACAACTTTTTTAATGGCTAATTGGTTTAATGGAACATCAAACCTTTTAAAATTGTTGCATAATAATAATAATAATAATAATAATAATAATAATAATAATAATAATAATAACAATAATAATAATAACAATAACAATAATAATAATAATAATAATAATAATAATAATAATAATAATAATAATAATTTACTTTTTTCAACCAACTAATTGGATTGGATCCCTTAAATCTATAAGTACATTATTCATTATATTAGTATTCCACCCTGTGCATTTGCACAGTTGTAAACAAAATAAATACGATAAGTTATTTGTATGCATATAATATTAAACTTATAAATTAAATAATAATATTACATTCAAACATATAGTATTATAAGTTATATATATGCATACAATACTAAAATTATAAATTATGTAATAGAATTATACTTTAAATTTTATCATTGGTTAAAAAAAATAGTACATACAATTTGATTGCATACGAATTACTACATTGATTGCATAAAATGTAATAAATATATAATTTTTATAATTTTGAGTGATCGTGACCAATTAATAAGCTGAAAAATATTAAATTATTATAAATTTGTTTATGTGATTTTAAGAAATTTACTATGACATACAAAATCATTTAAAAAAACAAACACTTAATCATATAAAAATATGTAATTGATTTTAGTGTAGAAAATAATATTAGTTAACTTCTTATATCAATTAGTGTAAAATATAATTACTAATTTTAATATTAACTATTATATGATTCATCAAAAATTGTTATATGATTCAACAAAAAAATATAATTATTGCTCAATTAACAAAAAATATAATGGTTTAATTAACCCAAAAAAGTGTAATAAAATATTTCATTATTAACGAGATAGGGTGTATTAATGCTACATAAATAAAATTTATTAGATTTTATTTAATAATTGCCACATAGGTAAAATTTATTAGATTTTATTTATTAGGTAAAATTTATTGCTACGCTAGCAATTATATATATATATATATGTATATATAGATTTTTGGATTTGCTCACCTGCCCACGGTGGGCAGTGCCCACCATTTTGTTTTACATGAAAAACGTATTCTCAGAATACGTTTTTCAATTAAATATTTTATTTGTATTTGTACACATGCACATACTTGATTACTAGTTTATAACATGTTACGGAACAAAAGTTAAATATTAATCCACACCAAACAACTTAAACTAGATTTATGAAAACATTAAATGTAAGAGAAGAATAAATAATTTATAAAACCGACTTTAATTAAAATTTAAACTAATTAAACTCTAAATATATTAAAATTAAGAGTAGAAACTTTCCATTTATGTAAAAAAATCTTGATATTTTCTTTTTAAATCCAGTATATCAAAAACCGGTATAAACAAATATTTATTTTTTAAAAAAAAATTATAAAAAAAAGGGTAAATAGTTACCACCAGCCAGACTACCAGTATCCTGTATTACGGCCGTACGGTATTCAAAATATTTCCTATATATACCCTCATTGGTGCTCCATAATAATAGTAGCAAAATATAAAGCAAAAAATAAAACACTTTAGCTAATGGCCAGCGAACATTCTTCCCCTGACACCAACGTAGCAGTTGTGATGGTCCCGCTGCCGGCCCAAGGCCACCTGAACCAGCTCCTCCACCTCTCCTGCCGCCTCGCCTCCGCCACCAGCCTCCCCATACACTACATCGGCACCGCCACTCACATCCGCCAGGCCAAGCTCCGGGCCCACGGCATCCGGGCCCAAGGCATCACTTTCCACGAGTTCCCCACCCCATTATTCGAAAACCCTCAGCCCAACCCGCACTCGTCGGCCCAATTCCCCGAGCACATTTACCCCTCGGCTTCCGCAACGGTCACCTATCTGCGGGGCCCGGTTCACGCATTAGTCGACGATCTTTCCAAAAAACACGAGAGGGTCGTCATCGTGTACGACTCCTTAATGTCCTATGTCATGCAGGACGTGGACCGTATACCCAATGCCGAGTCTTATAGGTTTTGGAGTATATCTGCCCTCATGGTCTACTTTCTCGACTGGCATGCCAGGGGAAGAAGAACAAGGCCCAACCTGCTGGGAAATGTCGAGTCAATCCTGAGGGAAATCCCGGGGACCGACACTCTTTTCCCAAACATGCCTTCCGAGTTGCGGAGCAACTCTAAGGCAAGTGTATCGGGAAACATCTACAATACGAGCCGGGCCTTAGAGGGCCCATTCCTCGACTCGCTGGAACTGGGGGGCAAGGCGGCGCAGAAGCAGTGGGCTCTCGGCCCGTTTAACCCGGTCGAAATCAATTCAACTGAAAGGCGGCCGCACGAATGCCTTGATTGGCTCGACAGGCAGGAACCGGATTCGGTGATATTCGTCTCGTTCGGGACGACATCTTGTTTTACGGACGAGCAGATCGAGGAGATCGCGCTCGGGCTCGAGAGAAGCCGGCACAAGTTCGTGTGGGCTTTGAGGGACGCGGACAAGGGAGACATCTTTAGGGGCGAGATTCGAGAGCCGGTTTTACCCGAAGGGTTCGAGGAGAGGGTGAAGGGGAGAGGGATGGTCGTTCGGGAGTGGGCCCCACAGCTGGAGATCCTCGCGAATCGAGGGACGGGCGGGTTTCTGAGCCACTGCGGATGGAATTCGTGCATGGAGAGCATGACCATGGGGGTGCCGGTGGCCACGTGGCCGGTGCACTCGGACCAGCTGGTCAACGCGGCTCTGTTGACCAACGTGTTGAAAGTCGGGATAGAGGTTAGGGAGTGGACGTGTGGGCCAGTTGTGGTGCCTTCTGGTGTGGTGGCCGAGGCTATAGCAAGGTTGATGGGTTCGGGGGAAGGAGATGAAATTAGGGAAAGGGCTAAGGAGTTGGCAATCAGTTTGAGGAGTTCTGTGGCGGAAGGTGGAGTAAGCCACGAGGAGATGAAATCGTTTATTACTCATATAACCCGGTGGAAGTAGAATGGTATGAAGGGAAGAAGAATTCGAGGGGGGTTGGGGGGAAATAAATAATAATTAGATAATGACTCTAATGTGTGAATAATTGAAATGCATGGTCTCCATGCTTGTGATCGGAAAGCTGTGTTAGCTTGGTTGAAGTGAAAGTCAAATAAGTTTCCAAGTTTGTTGCAGGAAGAATCTAAAAAGCTGGTCGTATTTTAAGTCATAATATTCGATATTAAAAACAGAAATGCATGTGTGCAATTGATTAGGGACTAAGGCAGATGCATGCTTGAACTAGTAGTTGGTGTGACTTGACATTAAGCAAGGTGAAAGTGGGGAAATTTCATCCTACCTACAAAGAGCAGTCTTTTTCAACACAAGATGTACCCAGATCATACTTGGAGAGAGAGAGAGAGAGAGAGAGAGAGAGAGAGAGAGAGAGAGAGAGAGCATACCAGAGCACGAGAAACCAACTCAACACTTTTTGACCAAAACGGACAGATAAAATCAGAGAAGCACCACGAATCACAGCTGCTTTTGAACACAACCAAAAGGCTCGTCAAAATTTTCCTTCTTTATGCCCACACAGGAGTACCGTAATCTGCACTTCAAGGATTCAAGTAACGACAAGTGTAGAAACGTTAAAATATAATGGCAAATCACTAGCTAATGAACGTCAGAGCTGAAGATATCCGTAGAAGCCAGAACCAAATACTCCCAGCATGAAATCAATTAATTCAAGAAATAAAGGTGATTTTACATATTGACTTTGTTCAAGTAAGACGTTTGCTGAGCCTCAACAAATTTCAATATGGTTGAAGCATCTCCTTGCAAAACAACCTTGCCGTCATCCATGTAGACAGCACCATCTGCATATTCAAGTTCTTCCAGACGATGGGTAACCCATAGTGCTGTGGCTCCAGAGGAACTAGCCAGAGAGCTTTTAACAGCTCGTAAAACCCCGACCTAACCGCAAAAGGAAAAATAACCGCAATTCAGATGCGTCTCGAATCAGAAATTCCCTTCGATGGGGGATAGAAATATACTGACACCTCTTTGTGCCCTTAATATAATAAGACCAACAATTAACTGCAATAGGATTATTTTTTGATTTTAAAAGTCTCATATAATCATGGCTAATGCTGAATGGATCCAAAATCTACAACACTGCAACTAGCACAGAATGAGATGCTTTAAACTCTATAGGTATCATATATTTAGTATTTACGACTAAATTTATTTCTCTCAGTTGGAAGTTTCAATATCATTTATTGTGTTAACTATCAACAATAAGTACCTGATCATTTTCATCCAAAAATGACGTAAGTTCATCTAGTAACAATAATTGGCATGCTTCTGCTAGAGCCCCAGCTATGGCGACCCTTTGTTTCTGACCACCACTAAGAGTTTGAATTTGTCTCTAGAGAAGTCAAATATTGTGGTTAATCTTGAGAAAATCATGTAATTCAAAATGGAGGTTGAATATCTTTTAGCATCTTGACGTACTTGTAAATATTCGTACATCCCTACAGCTTCCAATGCTTTAGCCACTCGAGAAGTAACCTCATCTTTTGTTAAATTGAGTTTGCCAAGGCCAAATGCCACATCTGCCTCCACCGTGGGCATAACAACCTGAAGATAATAAATTGAAGTCACCAAAACGTTTACTACCCTGAAAGTCAATTTTCTTTCACAAGTTGTACTAGTAAACACAACTTATATAAATAGCCACAGATCAACGCATACATTCAACTAAAATCTAATTATACTTTTCTAGAACGAATATGATTGGAGCTTGGAACTGTAACTATAAGCACTGGAGCATTTTATTTTTCAAATCCATTTTTATCAGCTCAATTTCTCTATCATATCATCTCCCATTTATTTCTGACGCAATTTCAAATCACTTTCCATACATACAAGTATATATTTTTCCAAAAATCAACAGAAGTTCCTCATTGAGAACATATTTTATATTATCCTATTCATTAATCATTAGTTAACACATCAATTATTCCTCACAAGTACTTTCTGCCACAAATTGTGGAAAGTCTCCACTCTTTGATTTACATCACATAAGCCACCCAATGAAGTATGTGAATATCATCTAATTTAAATCATAATTAGTACGATTTGCCGACTTCTGCAACAAAACAAAGAGGAGAAGTGATCAACTCTAAGGTTCATAGACTTAGCTATTATTAACCGAAGAAATCAGGTTACTCAAGTCCGACTCTAAAGAACACGCAATACATTCATGAGAAAACATTAGACCTCTATCAATTTGGAAGTCTGTCCGAGTATTAGCTACAAGTTAACAATTTAGGACAGAGTACGCTCGTGTACGCTACAAAATTCGAAATAATCTCACTCAGCTTTTTCAGTAGCAGCAGTCCTTAAATGACCTTTTTCAATGCATAAACAACTTTCACATTACTGAAATTCTCCATTAACTAACCTGATGATCAGGGTTCTGAAACACAAAACTCCTCGGCTTCTTCACACGCAAATATCCACCGCTTGGATTCAAGAAGCCACCCAAAATCTGCACAATAATGACAACCATACTGTCGGTTAGATCCATAAGACAAGGCTCGTGGAATAAGGATACAGATTTAAATAGAATCTCGTGAAGTACATCAATTATCATCCAGCAGCTTCAGTATACCTAAATCCCAGAAAAGGGAACACTAAACAAAGAAATCAATTGTAAAACACAGTAATATGTTGGCAGAATTGCCTCAAATAGCTGATGATAATGACTTAATTTTCAAAGTGTGTCTAACCTTCAGGAGGGTGGATTTTCCGCAGCCGTTGGGGCCGAGGAGCATCCAGAACTGTCCGGTGGGGATGCTGAGCGAGCAGTCTTTGAGAATCGGAACGAGCTTTCCTTGCCGGGTTTGAACAGAGTAGCTGAGATTCCGGCAGTCAATCGCCAGATTCTCGACGACTGTGGAGGCCGTGCAACTAGTTCCGGCGTGGTGGGAACGCGGGGTCGGGAGCTTCACCGCCGCGGTAGCGCGAACCACGGCGGTGGAATTCATTTCTAGAGGCAAATGAGATTGAATAGACCCGTCGGAAAAGGTATAGGCAATGGTTTTTTTTTTTTTTTTTTTTAAGGTATAAGCAATGGGGTTATGCTGTGGATACTCGCACGGCCTGTTGTGGATGAGTACCGTTGGATGAACTATAAAGTGACAGATGGATGATTAAGACCCGTTGGATGATTGAATATATCATCTGACCGTCATGTTTAAACTAAACAGAATGTAAGCAAGTATCACAAAATACGTGTGACTTAGTTGTGAATGTTTATCGATTGATATAGTTTTTATTTGGTCTGTTTTTTAACCATAGTTAAATTCGAAAAAAGGGGTGTATAGTTAATTATTAGTGGATATATTAAAATAATATTTAAATAAAATAATTAAAGTTGATTTGATGTAAGTAGGAGAGATATGATTGGAAGTGATGGTTAGTTAAAATTATGTGAGTGGATGAATGGTAAATTAAAATTGATGTGAGAATGATTGGTTAATATTATTTAATTATATTGATAATATAAGATAGTGAGGTTGAGTTAAAATTGAGTTAAATTTGAGTTTTGATTGGTTTTTTTACTGTATAAATGATAAACAATCGCCGCCTTAGTGATTCAATTAGGTTGGTTAAAGTGAGCTATTTTAAATAAATTTGATGGAATGAATAATTTTGAGTTTATAATTAAATCATATTAAAACTCAATGATTAAAATTGATGTGATGTAAAAGTATGAGAGTTGTTGTGAAAAGTGGTAGTTAAAATTATGTGACTGAAGGAATAATGAATTAAAATTGATTTGATGTATGAAACTGATTGATGTGTATTATTTAATTATATTTATAAAAAATAGGAGAGTTCGATAAGTGTGATCATTAAAAACAAAATAGTTTGATCGAGCAAAATCGATAAAAATCGGTTATGATCCATATCCAAATTACACTCTAATAAACCCGACTAAATAAAGGTTTCAAAACCAAAATAGTCGGCTCGAAGTTATGTATAAACCTTATTGTCAAAAAATTTTTATCCAGATTTTGCTCTAATTTTTGTTTGGAATCTACGGCTCAAAATGATATTGGTCGTCCAAAATAATTTCACCTAGTTTTTTATTATTATTTTTGTGTACTATATTTTCGTACCAAAACCATATTAACCACCAATCCAATAGATGTAGACAAACAAACTCGAGCAACCAATGATTCGACTCTAATTTGGAATTGTGACCATTGACTCATCAGTCAACAGACCCAAACCAGTTGTTCAATGGACCGGGAATCCCGGTGGACACGGCCAATCAAGACTCCGATTCTGAGGTGGGCCTTATGGTTGGGTATTGATAACCTTAATGGTGCATACGGGCCTTGAATGTGATAACTAGTTACTATATTGGGAACGGTCCAACTTGGATAGGCTCTATATTTCTTGTTAGAGAAAAATACTTTATGAACTAATTAAAATAAAAAAAACATTACACATACACTAATAAAATAATTATTCGCAAACATTTCAAATTTAACAAAAATATTATGAATTGAATACGAGATATACACATTAAAAATAAATAATTAATAAATTAATAAGGGGTTGTTTTTGAATGGTAACTTCTTGATTTTTTTTTTTTTTTTTTTTTTT